AGAGGGGGGGGGATGGGTGCTCTGCTTGACCTCTGCTTGTTCACACATCTTGACTGCTGTCTTTGGTTTGGTTCGTGTTCGCATTTGATTGACGCTCCCCGCCAACGCCATCCCTCCTCGCCCCTCCGGATGAACAAGATCAACACTTGGGCATCGCATATTCTGGCCTCGCCTTTCATTTTTTTTTCTCCGACTTTCCCCACCGCGGACCCCCCACCCGCTATGCAGGCGGACTCGGTGACGCTGTACGAGATAGGGGAGGGCGTGAACAGGATTCGGGTGCGGGCGCACGACTCTGAGACGGAGCTGTACGACCTTGCGCCGGCGGAGGTTGTTTGGGTGCGGGACGCTACGCCGCCCCAGGTGGAGTGGCTGTGGACACCGGAGGAGGTGGGTTCGGGCTAGAGGTTTGCTGTTGGCGTTGGTGTTTGTTTGACGAGGTTTTGCACCAGCGAGTAAATTAGAGATTGGTGTTGGTGAAGGTCAGAGAACACGCTCGGCATCGGTTGCATGGCCATGTCGCGAACAAGCCTCCTCAAAACGGACGCCTTTCTGCTCCGCTGCCTGCTGTTGGTTTGTTTTCACATAAACAACAAAAATGTACGACGATTACGACGGCAAACAGGTGTCCCATCTGTCGAACGCTCTGTTCGAGTTCACGTGCCTCGGAGAGCTTCCCCTGCCGGCGACCGTCTTCGGAGACGAGGCGGACCCCGAGGAACCGGTCGACATGGGCCAACGGGAGCAGGAGGGCCAAGCCGGCTCCTCCTCCTCCTCCTCCTCGTCATCTCCTTGGTTGCGCTCATCACCATCATCATCATCGGGCAGCGGCACGCAATCTGAAGCCGTGGCCATCAGGGACGACGACGATGCCTCGGCGGTTGGGGCCGCCGCCATCGCCGCCGCCTACCCCACGGCGTTCCCCCGCGTGCTGCCCAGCGGGTGCGCGTTCGAGGCGAGCCTGGACGGGGCGGATTTCGAGGCCGTGCCCAACACCGTGGTACTGTCGGGACTGTCGAACGGCGACCACCGCTTTTCCGTCAGGTATTTTAGTGGCGTGCGTCTGATTGTAAGCCACAGAGGTCGGGGAGGGGGGATTGCTCCTTGAAAAGTTGGTGGTGGTTTCGTTTCCCTTCACGTGTGGTGTGCGTCTGATTGTAAGCGACAGAGCGGGAGTGGGGCGGGGGGAGTGTTCTGCTTTGATGGTGGTTTCCTTAGTTCGGCGGTATTTGGTGTGGTTGTCGTTGCTATGCTAGCGATCCTTCACCTTCGAGACATCGAGTCTGAATTACTCACTCACTGCACATGTCCATTGACCGTGGATGTTCCTCTCACTCGCCTTGATACCCTCCCCCCCCTCCGACTTGTTGAAATTCGCGACGTACTTGATTTTGTTTGGTGTCATTCCACTGCTGTGTTGTCGCTCGTCGATGTTGCCCCCTCGTGGGGCCATTAAAAAAAGTGGATACCCCACGCTGCTATGGCTCGACCCATTTGTACCCCCCACCTCACCCCGCACCTTTGAGTTTTACCCCGCGGCAAACGGTAAGAAGTGCACTAGTTTGACAACAGGCGAAGCGTTTACCCGAGCCGAATTCTCCCCCCCTCAACGGTCTAACGACTACCGCATGCACGACTATGAGTACCCCCGCCCCGCCCCCGCCCCCTCCCCATGCAGGGCCAGCGACCTTGCGGGCAACGTGGCAGCTACTTCATACTTCGACTGGACCGTTGACACCAACGTCCCAGACACGGTGAGTTCATTCACCGGAGGAGGGAGGCCTGCTGTTGCGAGCTGTTGTCCATGCACAAGACTATGATAGCCGATAGGCTGTGTGGTGTCTGTGGGGTGGTGGCAGCAATACTGTTCGCAGCAAAAAACACTTGGTTCAATTGTGTGGTGAAATTCCTGGCGCAGGTGTGTTGACCATGCCAACACGCCTTCCCCGCTGATGCTGTTGTTGTTGTTGTTGTTGTTGCTGTTGTTGCTGTTGTTGTTGTTGTGTTTGGTTGCATGTCAACAACCATCAGGTGGTCGTGGCGTGCCCGTCGAGCGTGGCTTCCTCGCCTCTGGCCACCTTCAAGATCCTCGACACCGTGGGGGCGGAGCAGGACGAGGGGCACTTCGAATACAGGTATGCCTTCGTAGCTCTGGGCACTAGAGACAGGTTCCTCCCGCCATCGCGGCTTGGTTGATTTTGATCGATGAATCATGATAGCGGTTCATCTCTCGTAGGATTGAACATAACTAACACGTTGCGAACGAGTGCTGTTGGAAGTCACAGCAGGTGTACGACCGACGGCTCGATTGCTCCGCAACCCCGGAGAGGTTAGCTGCAAATACCAAACAGGGGGGTGCTCTTGGTTGCGTGCACAAGCGATACCTGAAAAACCGGTCGCACATCTACCGGTACGGGTGGTAATTTGAAGGTTCTGAGCTGAGATCGGAACAGTTTTTAGTGTGAAGACGACGACAACAACAACAACTAGACCTGCGCGCTAGCCCGAGCACGGTATGTGTAGGTTGCTCACTGCCTTGCGCTGCGCCTGCCGGTGTCGACGTGTATACACATGTTTCGTCTCTCATCCCTCGCTTGTTGTTGTTGTTGCTGCTGCTGTTGTGTTGTTGTCGCTTTTTTTTTTTTTGTGAATGATGGCGGGAGAGAGCAGACTGGACCCCTTGGACGACGACACCGCTTGGACCACCACGTCTAACACCACCCTCGAGTTCATGGGGCTGCAAGACGGCACGCACGCGCTGACGGTGAGGGCTCGGGAGACCCTGGCGGAAGGAGGGAGCAGCGACCAGGTGAATGAATGGCCACGGGAGGTAGAGCAGTGTTTTTTTTACCGTATACCGTGTCTTTCTTTGTCGGCGTTTTTTATGGGGGGGTGGAGGGGTGGGGGGGGGGGGGGGGGG